GAAAACAACCAATGTCTAAATTGGGAATGTGGAAAGAAGGACGCCAATCAGATGCTGACTATTATGATTATGATTGCGATTATCATCAGAATTTGGCGATTTTAAGAACCATCTGGGATTACAAGAGTAAAACTGGGGATTTCCCAAATCCACCCTCGATTAAACTACTCGATTTCATCATGTATTCACTCCCAATTTTGAAAATCTCACGAGAGAAGTTAGCGAAAAAAATCATTGCATTTAAGAATAATTATAATGATGCTTGGGAACTCGACGAAGATTATCCTGGGTTGGACAGGCCTGTGGATCGAGAAATTTTCAACTTGTCTATGCGATTATGGGGTGATCAGAAGGAATTTTATGATGACTGGAAATGGAAATAGCGAAAAGCACCATTTAGTTTATGAGAATGTGAGAAACTGGAGCTGTTGATTTCTTGTTTGTTTGCAACCAAAGCTCGAAAAAATCTTATGTGTTTCATGTATTTGGATTTGTTGAAAAATAAAAAATGTAATGTTTTATTGTAATCCTAGCAAGAGCCCAGACTTTTCACTTTCTTTCAAGTGTAAGAGAAAAGGTTCAGATTTGTCCTTATACTTTAAAGAGTCTAACTCTGCCATTCGTTAGAAGTTTGACTCATTCATTTCATGTACTCGATGTTTAGATTTGCCCTTATACTTTAAGTCTAACTTTGTCATTTGTTAGAAGTTTGACTCATTCATTTCATGTCCTCGTTGTTTAGATTTGTCCTTATACTTTAAGAGTCTAACTTTGCCATTCGCTAGAAATTTGACTCATTTATTCATGTTCTCATTGTCTAGATTTGTCCTTATACTTTAAGAGTCTAACATTGCCATTCGCTTATAGTTTGACTCATTTATTTCATGTCCTCGAACTTTAGATTTGTCCTTGTACTATAAGAGTTTGATGTGTATATACCTTATATTTACTTTGTTCAAAACATACATCAACATGGCAAGTCTCATGAATTCGGCAAGTTGCTATACTTGAGAGAAAATGAGTCAACAAAGTCTCAAATTAGAAGTATTAAATTTTGGCGTTTACGTAATTCATGAAAAAAAAGTTAAAAAAAGAAAAAAGGATCAAGAAAGATGTTTTTATCTATCTTAAGGAAATTAAGTTTCAGATTCAATATCTTACCGGTTTAAGTAGTAGATTATAGACTATAGTTGGTATAAGTTATTTTATAACTTTGCTCATATTGACCTTCTTCATCTTAGCTTTTTGCACTCACTTCTCTTTCAAACCTTTTTGTGAAAAACGATTTTCCTGAGCCGAGGATTTATAGTAAAGAATCTCTCTACCTCACAAGGGTCGAGTAAGGTCTGCGTACATGTCAGAGATGAAGAACGTAGATGACGAAGATGGATTTTATCAGGCCATAAAAAACTTTGTGCAGAATGCTGAGGGTGAAGTCATGTCATGACATGGAAATGCTAATAAAGAGGGATGAAGGTTTGCGATTGTTTGTGATTTTCTGATTATTTTGGAGAAGGTATGTACCATTTGGTGGTCGAAATAGACTAGTGCCGTGAAAAGACACTGCTTAAATAAGAGCTAGAGAGAACTAGGTATTTTATGATCATTATAGAGTTTATATTACACTCTATGATAAACATGACCCTTAACTTGACTTCAGCTGACAACTATGACCTTTTAACTTTGGATATGAACAAGTAGATAATTAAACTTGTATAAAATTAAGCAAATAGATGTCAGCTGAAGCTAAGTTAAAAAGCATATTTATGTATTATGCCTATGACAAATGAGAATGTTTAAATAATGCAAAAATATGCCATGTAAGTTGAGTTATTAAATTCAAACTTCCTTTACAAATGCATGAATTATAAATGGTAGATTGTTCATCTAAAGTAGCGTGAAACTATTTTATTCTTGCCTTCTCTTTCAAATCTATCTGACAACACGTGACACTTCATCACTTCTTTTTGTATTTATTAATTTAGGGTTAAGGGTTTTACGATTTAGAGTTTAGGGTTTATATTTTAGGTTAAGGGTTAGACTTACTATTCTTATTGTAAGTGCGATATGATAGTGTAAAAATATATGTTATAGTACCGATATATCGAAGTTAATCTAACATAAAAAATTATTTTCTATACTAACATTTATTACATAATTATCTCATATGAAGTGTTTCTGCTAAACATTTTAGTCTGTCCCAAAACACTCTTAACCATCTTCTTCAGTCACTTATATTAGAAAAAAGTGTTGAAATCTTTACTCATTTTTTGTTTCTGTTTTGATTCTCTCCGCAAAAAGAATGTTACCTTCAGTTCCTGAAATTGAAGAAGAAGAAAATCGCGAGAGCGTGGAAATGGAGATTGATGGACAGATTGAAAATCAAGAATCAGAGCATGGAAATCAAGAATCTGATGAAAAAATGGAAGAAGCAGAGGATGGAAAAACAGAGGAATTGGATCGAAATGGAAGACGAAAAAAAACGCCAAAATGAAGAAGAAAATGGCGATGCTAAAGAAGAAGAGTTGTTGAAAAAGGAAAACAACCAATGTATAAAGAAGGAGGAGAATCAGATGAGGACTATTTTGATTATGAAGAAGAATATAGCGATGACGAAGAAGAAAAAGAACCAATGTATAAAGAAGGAGCACAATCAGATGAGGACTACTTTGATTATGAAGAAGAATATAGCGACTGAAGAAGAAAAAGGAAAACAACCAATGTATAAAGAAGGTGCTCAATCAGATGAGGACTACTTTGATTATGAAGAAGAAAATAGCAACGACGAAGAAGAAAAAGGGAAAGAACCAATGTATAAACAAGGAGCACAATCAGATGAGGATTATTTTTATTATGAAGAAGAATATAGCGACGACGAAGAGGAAGAAGAGAAAGAAAGAAGAATAACTGCTGAAAAAGGAAAAAAAACCTTTTAATTTTGATGACTGAAGCTGGTTAGTAGTGTTAGTTAGCATATCAATTTGACAACGAAGAGCGCGATCGATGCAGTTTATGAGAAGGCATAATACATATATTGGACCCTAAACTTGGCTTCGAATTTTAACTTTGACCTCCAACTTTCATAGTGCACAAACATGCACTTTAACTATCCAACCTTTTAATAAATAAACACGCGAGTCCTACTTGGCAAAATGTGTGATGCGCACGTTTCTGCGCGAGTTAGGAGTAATTTTTGAGGCCCACAACGATAAAAAAAATGCTGAAATGACAACTCTACCACCCCGGATTCCGGCCAATCTCCGGCAACCCAAAACCCCCATTCATTTTCTTCTTTTTCAGGCAAAACGCCATCACCAAATGACCCCCAAACAAGTGAGCAAACACATCCATTACTCCTCCGGCCCTTTTCCGGCCAGCAAACACCACTTGTAACCACCCAAAACCTCCATTCATTTTCTTCTTCTTCCCTCCGCTCACGCCACCACCAGTGAGCCGGCTTCAACCTCAAACAACCAGCAGCTCCCAACTCCAAACACCTCCAACCCAGCCGTTCTCCTTCTTCCTCCACATCGGAGCACAACCCATGAAGCGAACGAGCTTCAAGCTCGCTAAACCCACCAAATACCCGACCCCAAACCCATCAGATCTGCCATCTCCGGCGAGAATCATCACGAAACAACACTGCTGCAACCAGCAGCTCGAACCAGACACAAAACAGCAACCAAATGATCCCCAAAACCCCATGAAAACAAAATCAACAACCACAAACACCTAAACCAAGAAGCCAGCCATCAACAAACCTCTAAGCTCCGTCAAACAATGAGCTCCAAGATCTAAAAACCATTAGGAGGAATTAATTTTGATTCTTGTATATAAATTAAAATTAATTTTGATTTTTTTAGTTCTAAAATCGAAGTGTAAAATATTTAATTAGTTGGCAGCCATTGAGTGGCTCACTAATACACGTTGGAACGTTTGTATTTCACGCTCTTTGGCTTCAAAAATCATGTGTTTATTTATTTAAAAGTTGGATAATTAAAGTGTTTGTTTGTGCACGAAAGTTGGAGGTCAAAGTAAAAATTTGAAGCCAAGCTTAGGGTCCAATATATGTATTATGCCAATGTGAGAAACTAGAGTTGTTGATCCATTGATTGTGTCATTTCTTCTTTTTCCTGTATTTGGATTTGTCAAAAATACATTTGTAATGTCGTGTTGTAATCTAATCCATATCGCTACATTTATGTTCGTCTGAGTTTGATACTTGTTTACGCGTCTTAGTGAATGAAGAAAATGGGATACACTATTCTTGCATTTTAGAACCCCAGGCATTGTAAATGGAAACCCTGAAGAGATTGATTCGTTGCTTGGTGGCAAAAGCTACGGTTTCAGAGATGATCATTCTTTTTGTTCTTTGTTATTAGTTTTGTCAATATTGCTGATATTTCGTTGTTTGAATGAAAGTAGCTGTGTGCATTATTTATTCACGGTGTTTACAAGAAATAAAATGTACATAGTTTATTCCACCATAGAAAATTATTTGAAGTCATCTTTTAAAAGGTTCTCCAAATTTTTCTTCCCAATTTTCTCGTATTCTCTACTTTTGAACTGAAGCTAGTAGTCCGACTAAATATTTGACTTGCTTGACTGGGACTTTGTAAATCCTTACAACATTCCACCATTGTATGTATTGCTTGACTAGGTCAGACCCTTGAATGGTAACTCATGCTATCAGAAATTGCAAAGATAATTATATGGATAGTCGGTGAACACGATTATAAACATATTATACATTCGTTTTCTAATATTATTAACTACTTTTCTCGAAAATGTACCTTAATTTATTTATTTTTATTTGTTGTGATCGAAACAAAATACAGTATTGTACTATTATAGTATATTCTTCTCACTATGATCAGATCGTATAAGTGTATATATATAGCTGCTGTTAACCATCTCTTGAGTCGCTTCATATTCGAAAAACGGGCAAAATCTCTACTCCTTTTTTTCTTTCTGTTTTTTTCTCTCTGCAAAAAAAGAAAATGTTACCTGAAGGAGGAGAAGCAATTCCTGGAAATGGAGGAATTTCATCTTCAAATCCTGATCCTCCTTCTCCTCCAAAGGCCGACAGTAATAGTAATCTTGAAACAGAGCTACTATGTGATGAATCATTCAGTGAAATTATCAAGGAGGAAGTAGAAGAAGAAGTTGTTAGCTCTGATTCGTATAAATTATCAACGATCTCGAAGAACACAGAGAGAATGTAGGAGGAGAAGATAATGTCAATCGTATAAACTCTGAACAAAATGAAGGCAACGAGCCCGAGGATGGAGAAAATGGCGAAAAAGAAGAAGAGGAGAAAGAAACAGAGGAACAGAAACAAAAAGCTGCTGAAAAAGGAAAAAGACCATTATTCGAAGACTCAGAAGAAGATGCAGAAGAGGAACAGAAACAACAAGCTGCTAAGAAATGGCAAAAAACATCATTGGTACCCATCTTACCAAATTTTTCAAAGTGAGAATCATCACACACAACTAAAAGAGATCAAATTCAAAATCCAACACCAAAGGTTGATACTGAATTAGTTGATATCCAGATAAACACCGAGAGCCACAAAGGTTACGATTATCATTGAGATTTGGCTATTTTAAGAGCCATGTATGATTTCAAGTTCATCAATGGTATTTACCATATCCATATCCACACTCAGATGAATTACACAATCACATCATGGATTTGATGCCTAATTTGAATATCCTCGGAAATGATTTCACGGTAAAGATCACAGCATTTGAGGATGATTTCACTACTGTTAGAATACTGGATGGAGATAATCCTGAAATGGAACAGCCCTGTTAAGCGAGAAATTTTCAACTTGTCTATGCAATTATGGGGTAATACTGATGACAATGTTGGCAGTGTGATTCGGACTCATTATAGTATAAACTTTACCGCAACATTAGAGACTCATTAGAAACTTGATTTTGTGATTTTATCTGACATATGGGCTATTTTTTTCAACTATTTCTCTTTTCATTTCTGTTTGAATACAATACATTGTTGTCTTTTTTGTATTGATTGAAGGGAGCCTTAGCGTAACGATAAGAGTTGTCCGGCCTTTCCTCGGATCATGTGTATATTGAGAGAGCTTAGTGCACCAAAAAAAAAAAAAAAATTAGTCTCCCATGATCAATTCCAACTTTATTATAGACTAGGCTGTCCCTTGAATGCTAACTCGCGCTATCAGAAATCGCAAAAGATAATTAAATGGATAGGCAGTGACTCGGTATACACGATTATAGACATATTATACATTCATCGTCTATATTTAGTTTAAGCAGTTGAATGCCTATATCATGTACTTTCCTTGAAAATGTACCGTAATTTTTATTTTATTACTTATTCTGATCTAAACTACATATAGAGAGACAGTAGCAGAAACTATATATGGGATTCCTCTAAAACTGACTTAAAGAGTAACATTAACGCATTTAAATCTCGCAAGAGAAAAGAATTATCACCTCGTTATCAGTTCAAAATTCTTCTTTCTTTCTTTCTCAGCTCGAATATTTTCAGAAAGAAACACCATGTCCGAAATGCTACCATCAGAAGAAATGATGAATGAAAAGCAAGAAAATCAAGAATCTGAAATTGATGCAGTTGTATCACCTATCTCCTCTCCTCCATATGAAGATTATCATCCATCACACTTCAACAATGATCTACAAAATGAAGAATCAACAATCTCTGCAGACAAAACAGAAAACCAAGAATCTGAACTGAAGTATATGTTTTCGAAAGTTGAAGAAAGAGGAAAGCGTCCCATGTCTGAATCATATGAATTGAAGCCCATTAATAAGCCTACATTTTCCAATCTTGAACAAGGAGGAACGTCCGAAAATGAATCGATGAAAGAAGATGAGTATGATTATGATCTTGATTTAGCAATCTTGAAGTCTATCTATCATTACTTCTTCAATCACGGGGTAATTCCATATCCTTATTCAGAGAATTTTATCAATTACATCGAGGCTTCAATTTCCAACTTGAAATTTCATGGCCAGGAATTGGTGACTAAGATCCTTGCTTTAGAGCACCAATTCTTTTCTATTATGGAAATTACTGCAGGGCATTATCCTGATATAATCCACCCTGTTTTTCGTGAAATTTTCTACTTGTCTATGGGTTTATGGGGTTATTCCGGAGATTATTACCCAGTTGACAATGTCGATGTAATCACGAGAAACAAAGAGCGAGATAATGAAGAATCATTCAATCAGTTCTTGGATGAAGAAAACAGAAAGCAAGAAAAATTGCAGGCACTGAAAAAAGGAAAACGTCCCATGTCGGAATTATATGAATTTCAGCACATTGTGCCTACATTTTCAAATCCTGGACTAGAAGCTGGAACTTCCGAAAATGTGGAAGAAGACTATGATTATGATCAGGACTTGGCGATTTTGAAGTCCATGTATCAGTACTGTTTCAATCATGGTGGCAAAATTCCATATCCGATATCGAGGGAACTGATTAATTACATCGAAGCTTTAGTCCCCAACTTGAAAGTTCGTGGCCAGGAATTGGAGACTAAGATCGTTATGTTGGAGAGCGATTTCTTAGTTGTTATGACAATGGCTGGAGGATTCGACCCTGATAAAAGCCACCTTGTTTATCACGAAATTTTCTACTTGTCTATGGGTTTATGGGGTTATTCCGGAGATTATTACCCAGTTGACAATGTCGATGTAATCACGAGAAACAAAGAGCGAGATAATGAAGAATCATTCAATCAGTTCTTGGATGAAGAAAACAGAAAGCAAGAAAAATTGCAGGCACTGAAAAAAGGAAAACGTCCCATGTCGGAATTATATGAATTTCAGCACATTGTGCCTACATTTTCAAATCCTGGACTAGAAGCTGGAACTTCCGAAAATGTGGAAGAAGACTATGATTATGATCAGGACTTGGCGATTTTGAAGTCCATGTATCAGTACTGTTTCAATCATGGTGGCAAAATTCCATATCCGATATCGAGGGAACTGATTAATTACATCGAAGCTTTAGTCCCCAACTTGAAAGTTCGTGGCCAGGAATTGGAGACTAAGATCGTTATGTTGGAGAGCGATTTCTTAGTTGTTATGACAATGGCTGGAGGATTCGACCCTGATAAAAGCCACCTTGTTTATCACGAAATTTTCTACTTGTCTATGGGTTAATTTCGGAGACTATAATTAAGTTGACAACTAGGAGCACGATGCAGTTGATAAGAACGTGAGAACTGGAGCTGCTGATCCTTTAATTTTGATAGAGTTATGTTCACAATTTAATTACGTTTGCTAAACATAGTATATACGAGATGTTGTTTGCTTGCATTTTCAGTTCGACTGCAGTTTAGAGGTAACTTGAACTTTCTGTAATTGTTTCACTTTTCCATTTTAGTTTGATATCTTCTCGTTAACTTTATTATAGAATCGGAAATGTTAGTTCTTTTAGGAAGGCGAAAAGATCAGAATAGATAAACAGATAGTACTAGCTTTCGTATTGATGAAACTCCAAAGCCCTAGAAATGAGGAGCAACACCACGAGTCTAACTGAAACCGATATTTGAAATCTTCTGAGGCGAATTAACTAAGTATTCAAGGTGAATGTTGTCTAACGTGCTATGTACTTTGCCTTTGGAATAGATGAACTGATCATCAAATCTGAGAGAACAAAATGTTGAATTGAATCGTACCAATTTCTACCGGAAGTTATTAGAAGTAGTTTGCTTTGAGTTCACTCCTTTAGTTAAATAATTTTTGCACATTCTCAAATGACCATAATTTTTCATGCCATATATATGTAGTCTTTAATCATAAAGATGATTTTGACCTATAATCTATATTTGAGTTCATTACAACTCCTCAATTTCTTCATAGTTTTGGAATAAGAAAAAAAAGTTTTTTTTCTAAGCGAGTACATTCGCATTAATTAGAAATAACTAAGGAAATTTTTAATGTCAATAACTAAGGAATTAAAATGCAAATGTAGGGCTTCTACTTCCCCATTTACGTAAATAAAACATGACTATTTAATTAATTATTGGGAGAAGGCACAAGTACCCCCCTAGATTACCCCTGAACTCATCTTATATATAATATTGTACATCTTTTGGCTTATGTGGCACATCTCAAAAGTCAAAGCCAACTCATTTTATATATAATATTGTATACCTTTTGGCTTATGTGGCACATCCCAAAAGCCAAAGGCCGAAGCCGAGCGAGCGACGACGGCGTGAGGAGTTCCCTCTTTCCAACCCTTTTAACAACTAATAGTAGTGTTTCTCTATTTAAACACTTCTATTTTTCTTTCCACCACCCATGAGGGAGAAATGTCTTTTTACTAAAGCATAAGAGAACTTTTCAAGTTCTTCTCTTTTCATCTTCCCTTCATTTCTCATTAACTCTTGTTATATACCCAACAGAATGTTCTCTAATGTGCTACATACTTTGTCTTGGAATAGATGAACTGAACATCAAATCCGAGAGAATGAAATGTTGAATTAAATCGTATCAATATTTGCACTTTTAAGTTCACTAGAAATGACTAATGGTAACTCCTTTAATCATCTAATTTTTCATGCAGCGCTAAATATAAATGAAGAGTGCCATATAATCTTTTAACATGCAGACGATTTTGGCCTATAATCTATATTGAGTTCGTTGCAACTCCTCAATTTCTTCATAGTTATGGAATAAAAAAGAAAAGTTTTTTTCCAAGTGAGTCAGTTTACATTAATTAGATATAACTAAGGAAATTTATAATGTCATAACTAACGAATTAAATGCAAATGTTGGGCTTCTACTTCTACGTTTACGTAAATAAAACATGACCATTTAATTAGAGTTTAATTTAGTGTAGGGCTAAATTTGTAATTCAACTTTGAAGCTAGGACCATGTAGTATATATAATATGTGATATCATGATGCTATCACGATGATGACGTATGGCTATGCTTGAGGACATTCCTATGTATTGTAATATGTCATATGAGTCAAATTTTGACTAGCCATAAATCATGACAGATTAGTAAATGTTTTACTTGAAAAGGTCATTTAATGTCTAATTAACCAAAATAGTCTAGAGTAAATATATAGATAGACTTATGGAAAGAAATATGACTTTTATGGCATGAAAAATTAAAGTGAGATTTAATACAATTAATATTTTAGTGATTTTGGTCAAAAGAATATGCTATAAATCTAGCAAGAGAGAAAGAACCATCTCCTCATTCTCAGACTATTTTCACAAAGAGACACATGTTAAAAATGCTACCTTCAGACCAAAATCAAGAATCTGAAGTTTGGTCACCTATCTCCTCTCCTCCACATGATCACTTTAACAACGATCTACAAAATGTAGAATCAATCATCTCTGAATCTGCAAAAGATAAAGTTGACCAAAAAGCAACAGAAAAAGGAAAACTCCCAGAATCTGACTTGTATGAAATGAAGTGTGAATGTCCAAAAATTGGAGAAAAGGGGAAGTCTCCCATGCCTGAATATTATGAATTGAAGCCCATCAATAAGCCTAAATTTTCCAATCTTATGCAGGGAGGAACGTCAAAAATTAAGTTGAAAAAAGAAGATAATTATGATTATTATCAGGATTTGGCTATCTTGAAGGCTATCTATCATTACTTCTTCAATCATGGGGTGATTCCATATCCTAATTATTCAGAGAATTTTATCAATTACATCGAGGCTTCAATTCCCAATTTGAAATTTTGTGGCCTGGCATTGAAGACTAAGATAATTTTGTTAGAAAGGCGTTTCAAAGCTATTTTGAAAGTTGCAGGATATGATCCTAATATAATCAACCCTATTCATCGTGAAATTTTCAACTTGTCGATGGGTTTATGGGGTTAGGTTTGGAGACTATTATCAAGTTGGGAAAGAGATTGACGAAACTGATGACAATTTGAGAAACTGAAGGTGTTGATCCATTCTTAAATTTTTAGGTCTAAGTCTTCATAGCATCATTTTGAATTGTTTATGCTTTTGTTTGTATTTTTCATTTCAGCTGAAATTTTATTATGGGATTAGAGATTGTGAAAGATTATTTTGATTTGATATGAAAATGTTCTCTTTTGTGGGATTAGAGATAAGATTATTTTTATTTGATATGAAAATGTTATCTTTTTCAAAGTTGATTTTGTGAGTGAATCTGCTATATAGAGTGTTTTGTTAATAACAGCATCATTTAGCAAATTCATTGACATTCAAATACACATTCTACAAACTCACTTGCAAAGTCTGATATTAGAAAGAAAGTTATTCGTCAAAAATAGGCTCTGATCCACCTTCTACGTGGTCGATCATCAGTGTCACTAGCATTTGAATTGAAACTAGCAGTCCAACACAATTCTTGACTTGCTTGACTGGGACTTCCTAAATCCTTTCCCGAATTCTAGCTATTCGATTAGACTAACTGGGAAACTGAACTTGGTGAATGCATCTGATCCATCACCCATTGTTCCTTGGGGTGCTCGAGCCTTTGCATTGATTTTTCAATACAAAGCATTAGTTAATAAAAGATCAAATAGATATATAGCTTATTCTTTCGCTCGCTTCGCAGGCACTATTATCAACTTTTTTTCTCTTGCTATTTTATAAATGTGATGGTTGAGTCAATTTATATGATCCTCAACTAATAACTAATTCAGTAACCATGGTTTGAGAAGATCAAGTTACTTAACTATATATGTCTATCAAGTCTTAATACATGAGCATAAATTATTACTAGTTTTTTCTTTGTATCGACTGAAGGGGAGTCTTAGCATAATGGCAAGAGATGTCCTAACAACCTCTATAATGGTCTCCGTATTGTCTGGCTCTTCATAGGACCATGTGCACATGAGAGTTTAGAGTATCGGACTATAGAATCATTCGAAATAGAATATTTTCCAATCTTGAACAAGGATGAACGTCCGTAAATCATGAGTTGAAATGGAGAGCACTATGCAGTTGAGGAAAGAATATTGTGAGAAACAAAAAAGAGTTGCTGAGGGCCAAGTCTTCATAGCATCATTTTTTAAATTTCTTGGAGGATCAATGTAATTTTTTAAATTTTCTTTCACTAAATAGAATCTAGTATTACATGGATTATTAATTTGGAAATCGATTTGCTTGTAATTTTTTGTGGGATCAAAGATCATGAAAATTTATTTTTATATGAAAGAGCTGGAATTTGAAGAACGAAAAGCAGCAATGCATGTTTTCTTATTTTCAAAGAATGTCTCCAACATTGGATTTTTTAGCATAAAATGAAAAAGAAAAATAAAACTACTAACTATGATTTTATGGCAGCCTCGGTAATGAATCTAATGCTTCATAGTTCATAACGTCTATAAAGTTTTATTAGCCTTATATTTGGTTTGCCAACTTTTTCATATACTTTTTAAATAACCTCCTTGCAAAACAACTTTTCCGCACCTTAATTAATTTACTGTATATTTGATACTTCCACTTATGCATGTACTCTATAAGCTTATATCCGCCAATGCTTTGACCAATAATGGAAAAATAATTTTTAGCATTTTTAGCCGCTTTGAACATTTTGTCTCACTATGTCCAACTTCGTTGACCACTAATTTACATCTTGACTTCACTATTGTCTCATCATAAAATTACATTTAATAATAATCTAATAGCATTAAAAAATTTAGACATTTAGTACATAAATATTATTAACCTATTTGAAAAAGATAATAACAGTTAAAAAAAAAAATTCCAGATGTGAATTTTTTTTAATTTGGTAATATAATTACTTTTATTATTTATTAGCTCCAAAATTTTCGTTATATTTTCTTTCTTTCTTTATGAGTTTCAACATTTTCTCAAAGAATCACCATATCACAATGCTACCCAGTAAAGAACTCAATGGAGAGAATAGTGAAGGAAAGAAAGAAAATTCAGAATCTGATGGAGAAACAATCTTGGTTTGCTTTGATCTCATTATTGAAATTCTCTTAAGGCTTCATCGAGTCGGTCAGTCATAAAAGTCGACGAACAGGTCCCAAATTCAAAAGAAGCAACAGATCGAGAAATTGAAAGATTGGGCTTAAAGAGGCCCATTCTTCTTTAAAAAGTTGTATTTTGTTATTTTGGGCCTAAGCCTTCGTCATTTTATTTATTATTATCTTGTTAGATTTTAGGACAGGTGGAAGATGGGTCTAAGGCCCAAAGAAATAAAATTCAATTTAGTCTAGGACAGGTACAAAGGTGGCAAAAATTGAGCCTTTGGCCCAAAACGAAAATAGGCTCAAGTATTGGTCCAGGCGGACAGGAAACCAGACTCGGACCTGAATTTCCCTCTTTACTTTATCATTTTATATTTGTTTACCTGTTATTACTTGTTAATCTTAAGGTTACTACAGTTTAACTTCCCGAACGATAGCCATTCTAAACCGATTTCCTAAAAAAAAATTAACCAATTAAGAACTCGCTTTCTCTGATCAATGTTAAGTCAAACGAATTTAGCCAAATAGTTAATTGCCGGATAACCGCGTATTAGCGGACATTTCGGGTGCTTTCAAACCCTTCCCGAAATGCTAATATGAACCCCCGAACCCCTTTGAATATTTTCATTAGATTTCTGTTTTAATCTTTTTGAAATAGTAGTTTTCTTGATTTTTCTTAAAAATTAAGTGGCGACTCTTAAACCAGTCTAAATTCTATTTCTAAATAAAACACTTGTTGTTCCGGGTTACAGGTTGGCTTACCTACTGATGGGTTATAGTAGGTGTCATCATGATTCGAGGAATCGGGTCGTGACATTTTCTCTTCTCTAAAACCCTAACTCAATATTGTAAAAGCGTAAACTGAATCCTATCAGTTTAGACCCCAATTAATTACCAAAAACCGAAATTAAGTCATGGAGCATGGAAAAGACCATAATGCCCTTCTAAAATCCAGATTAGACTTTCCTTATTTGAACAGCCCAACTTCAAATGGGAATATCTTAGTCATACGAACTCGGAATTGAGTAAACTCGGCGGTGTTGGAAATATTATCCCAAGATCTTTCCTACGATATCTGGTAGCACACCTGACTCATCTTGAGCCAGGAGTTATGATCGTTTGAAGTTGACCAAAAACTCAAATTGACATACTTAACAAATTTTCCAGAATTTTATTCTTTCCCAAAAATGACTATTTCCAATTTTTAACTTATTTCTAGTCCTTTCAATTAGCGAGATGTTACACTTGTTCTTTTTCACATAGTACTTATTTTGATCTCTGAGAATTGCACAAATGGCATTTTAAAATTTTGCCCCTTTAAAAACAAATTGAGAACATAATTCTGATTTCAGATAATTCTGACTGTAGTTCTTCAACTAGAAAGTTAATTTTGTGAGTGAATGGGATGTATGGAGTGTCTTGTTAATGACAGTTAGTTAATGACCTTCTACGTGGCCGATCATCAGTGTCATATGTGTTTGAACTGAAAACTAGTAGTCCGACTCAATGCTTGACTGGGACTTCATAAATCCTTACCACGTTCCACCATTGTACGTATTGCTTGATTAGGTTACACCCTTGAATGCTAACTCACGCTATCAGAAATTGCAAAGATAATTATATGGATAGACATATTATACATTCGTTTTCTAATATTATTAACTACTTTTCTTGAAAATGTACCTTTTTTTTAAATTATTTGTTGTGATCGAAACAAAATACAGAATTGTAATTACAGTACATTCTTTTCACTATGATCAGATCATATAAGTATATATATAGCTGCTGTTAACCATCTCTTGAGTCACTTCATATTCGAAAAAGGTGTAAAATCTCTGCTCCTTTTTTCTTTCTGTTTTTTCTCTCTGCAAAAAAAAGAAAATGTTACCTGAAAATGGAGGAATTTCATCTTCCTCATCTCCAATTCCTGATCCTGCTCCTCCAAAGGCCAACAGTCTTGAAACAGAGCTACTATGTGATGAATCATTCAGTGAAATTATCAAGGAGGAAGTAGAAGAAGAAGTTGTTAGCTCTGATTCGTTGAATGAACGTAAGAGATTACGTACTGTTGAAGAAGAAGAAGAAGATGGAACAGAGGCTGTTTCTGATTCGAATAAATCACGTAGAATTCATGAAGATAAAGAAGAAGAAGAAAAAGGGCCAAATGAGATTGATGAACAGAATGGAAATCAAGATTCAGAACAGAGTGGAAATCAAGAATCTGAAGTAGCTGATGAAAAAGATGGTGGAAATGAAGAAAACAACGAAGGAGCAGAAGAATCAGAACAAAAGGAAGGCAGAGAGGATGGAGATAAAGAAGAAGAGGAGAAAGAAACAGAGGGGGGAAATCAAGTAAACAACAATGGAGAAGAAGATCAAAACGAAGAAGACGAAACAGAGGAAGTAGAAAAAGAGGATGAAACAGAGGAATTGCCCCAATTTTCAACAGCTGAAGAAGAAGGCGAAAATCACGATCTCGAAGAGCATAGAGAGAATGTAGGAGGAGAAGATAATGTCAATCGTGTAAACTCTGAACAAAATGAAGAAGAGGAGAAAGAAACAGAGGAACAGAAACAAAAAGCTGCTGAAAAAGGAAAAAGACCATTATTCGAAGAAGATGAAGAAGAGGAACAGAAACAACAAGCTGCTAAGAAATGGCAAAAAACATCATTGATACCCATCACACCAATTTTTTCCAAATTCCTACGAGGAGAATCATCACACAGAACTAAAGGAGATCAAATTCAAAATTCAACACCAAAGGTTGATACTGAATTAGTCGATATTGAGATAAACACAGACAACAACAAAGGTTATGATTATCATCGGGATTTGGCTATTTTAAAAGCCATGTATGATTTCAAGTTCATCAATGGGTATTTACCATATCCACACTCAGATGAATTACACAATCACATCATGGATTTGATGCCTGATTTGAATATCCTCGGAAATGATTTGACGGTAAAGATCACAGCATTTGAGGATGATTTCAATACTGTTATAATACTGGATGGAGATAATCCTGAAATGGCACAGCCTGTTGAACGAGAAATTTTCGACCTGTCTATGCAATTATGGGGTAATTCCGACGACAATGTTGGCGATGGGATATAGCTTATGATATAATATTCAGACTCCTTATAGTAAACTTTACAGCAGCATTATAGACTCATTAGAAACTTGATTTTATGAGTTTATCTGATATATGGGCTATTTTTCTTCAACTGTTTCTCTTTTTCATTTCTGTTTGATGTCTTCTCTTTCATTTATAGAATACATTGTTGTGTTTTTTGTATCGATTGAAGGCCTTAGCGTAGAAAGGCATAGGTTCAAGCCATTGGAACTACCTCTAAAATGGACCCAGTATTGTCCGCCCTTTCCTCTGATCATGTGTATAGTGAGAGAGCTTAGTGCACCGAACACTCTTCTTTGTTTCGATTGGGATTTAAACCATTATGAAAACAAAAAAAACATTAGTCTCCCATGATCAATATCAACTTTATTATCGACTAGGCTGTCCCTTGAATGCTAACTCGCGCTATCAGAAATTGCAAAAGATAATAATATGGATAGTTGGTGACTCGGTATACACCATTATAGACATATTATACATTTGTCGTCTATATTTAGTTTAAGCAGTTGAATGTCAATATCATGTACTTTTCTTGAAAATGTACCGTAATTTTTATTTTATTACTTATTCTGATCTAAACGGCATATAGTACAGTATTTAATATGATATAGATAGACAGTAGCAGGAACTACATATAGGATTCCCCTAAAACTGATCTAAAGAGTAACACATTAACGCACTTAAATCTCGCAAGAGGAAAGAATCATCTCCTCGTTATCAGTTCAAAATTCTTCTTTCTTTCTTTCTCAGCTTGAACATTTTCAGAAAGAAACACCATCTCCGAAATGCTACCATCAGAAGAAATGATGAATGAAAATCAAGAAAATCAAGAATCTGAAATTGATGCAGTTTTATCACCTATCTCCTCTCCTCCACATGAAGATCATCATCCACCATACTTCAACAACGATCTACAAAATGAAGAATCGACGATCTCTGCAGACGAAACAGAGGACCAGAAAGCGACAGGAAAAGGAAAACTCCAAGAATCTGAACTGAAGTATATGTTTTCGAAAGTTGAAGAAAAAGGAAAGCGTCCCATGTCTGAATCATATGAATTGAAGCCCATTAATAAGCCTACATTTTCCAATCTTGAACAAGGAGGAACGTCCGAAAATGAATCGATGAAAGAAGATGAGTATGATTATGATCTTGATTTAGCAATCTTGAAGTCTATCTATCATTACTTCTTCAATCACGGGGTAATTCCATATCCTTATTCAGAGAATTTTATCGATTACATCGAGGCTTCAATTTCCAACTTGAAATTTCATGGCCAGGAATTGGTGACTAAGATCCTTGCTTTAGAGCACCAATTCTTTTCTATTATGGAAATGACTGCAGAAGCGGGACATTACCCTGATAAAATCCACCCTGTTTTTTGTGAAATTTTCTACTTGTCTATGGGTTTATGGGGTTATCCCAGAGATTATTACCCAGTTGATAATGTCGATGTAATCACAAGAAACAAAGAGCAAGAAAATGAAGAATCATTCAATCAGTTCTTGGATGATGAAAACAGAAAGCAAGAAAAATTACAGGCAGTGAAAAAAGGAAAACGTCCCATGTCGGAATTATATGAATTTCAGCACATTGTGCCTGCATTTTCAAATCCTGGACTAGAAGCTGGAACTTCCGAAAATGTGGAAGAAGACTATGATTATGATCAGGACTTGGCGATTTTGAAGTCCATGTATCAGTACTGTTTCAATCATGGTGGCAAAATTCCATATCCGATATCGAGGGAACTGATTAATTACATCGAAGCTTTAGTCCCCAACTTGAAAGTTCGTGGCCAGGAATTGGAGACTAAGATCGTTATGTTGGAGAACAATTTCTTAGCTGTTATGACAATGGCTGGAGGATTTGACCCTGATAAAATCCACCCTGTTTATCGCGAATTTTTCTACTTGTCTATGGGTTTATGGGGTTAATTTTGGAGACTATAATTAAGTTGACAGCTAGGAGCACGATGCAGTTGATAAGAAAGTTAGAACTGGAGCTGATGATCCTTTAATTTTGATAGAGTTATGTTCACAATTTAATTACGTTTGCTAAACATAGTATATATGAGATGTTGTTTGCTTGCGTTTTCAGTTCGACTGCAGTTTTGAGGTAACTTGAACTTTCTGTAATTGTTTCACTTTCCATTTTAGTTTGATATCTTCTCGTTAACTTTATTATAGAATCGGAAATGTTAGTTCTTTTAGGAAGGCGAAAAGATCAGAATAGATAAGTAGCATATTTTTAAAATGACAAACAGATAGTACTAGCTTTCGTATTGATGAAACTCCAAAGCCCTAGAAATGAGGAGCAACACCACGAGTCTAACTGAACCCGATATTTGAAAATCTTCTGAGGCGAATTAACTAAGTATTCAAGGTGAATGTTGTCTAACGTGCTATGAAAGCCTTGAGGTAACTGCATGTACACATCTTCATAAAGATCTCCCTGAAGGAATGCATTATTGACATCCATGTGAAATAAATCCCAATTCTTAGCAGCTGCAATTCCAATGACAGTCCTCACAGTGACCATCTTGGCCACTGGTGAGCAGTGGCGAATTTTAAGCTTAAAAAATGGGTCACTTGAACCCGTGGTCATCCGATAAAACTCGATGTATTACATGTATAATTTTTAAAATATGTCAAATAGCAACTGAATGAACCCATGAACACAAACAACTGGATGGTTCACTGGTTTGAGTGTCAGTTTTCCACTTTGAGGTTTGAGGGGATCGATTCCCAGATGCTGCATTTTCACAACCTTGCATTTTATTTTATTCACAAAAGAGTTTCTGCATTCAGCCTTTTTTAAACTTCTTCTAATGACTTTTTCTTATAAAAAAAATTATTTATTTTGCAAATGTATCTAATATTTTTCTTATGAAAAACCTATACTTATTATTGCTAAAATAAATAAGGCCCCTCAAATTTGAAAGCCTAAATTAGTTGCCTTTTTTCTAAAGGGACAGAGCCGCCCCTGACAATGGTGCACCCGTCTTCTTGAAATTCTAGATTCGCCTCTGCTGGTGAGAATGTGTCGTGATAATCCAGCCCTTCGAGTTGACTGTAACCTTTGGCTACCAACCTAGCCTTGTACCTTTCAATGTCACCATTTGCCTTGTATTTGATCTTAAAAACCCATTTTGAGCCAATAGCATGAACACCAACAGGCAAGGAAATTAAATCCCATGTGTGATTGTCTTCTAATGCTTAAATCTCCAGTTGCATTGCATTCACCCAATTGCATTGAACACCAACTGCCTCCTTGAAGCTTTTGGGCTCAACATGAGTTGAAAAAGCATGTATAGAAGCCTTGTAGGCAGCGGACAACCTATCATAAGAAAGTACCTTGTCTACAGAATACAATGAAGAAGATGCAGATTTCTTTCCTGTGACATAATCTTTCAACCAAATAGGAGGATTGACACTTCTTCCAGTTCTCCTGAGTTTTTCAATTTTAGCTGGTGGCTCAGGATAAGGATCAACATTCATGCTAGGGACCTGAACATCATCACCTGCAGATGGCATGTTAGGGAGTGAAGTCGGAGGCAAATACGCCGGTATCTCTAATGAGGGAGGAGTAACCATCTCAGGCAAGTGCACTCCAAATACATCCTCGTCTTCTGGAGTAACCATCTCAGGCAAGTGCACTCCAAATACATCCTCGTCTTCTGGAGTAACCATCTCAGGCAAGTGCACTCCAAATACATCCTCGTCTTCTGGAGTAACCATCTCAGGCAAGTGCACTCCAAATACATCCTCGTCTTCTGGAGTAACCATCTCAGGCAAGTGCACTCCAAATACATCCTCGTCTTCTGGAGTAACCATCTCAGGCAAGTGCACTCCAAATACATCCTCGTCTTCTGGAGTAACCATCTCAGGCAAGTGCACTCCAAATACATCCTCGTCTTCTGGAGTAACCATCTCAGGCAAGTGCACTCCAAATACATCCTCGTCTTCTGGAGTAACCATCTCAGGCAAGTGCACTCCAAATACATCCTCGTCTTCTGGAGTAACCATCTCAGGCAAGTGCACTCCAAATACATCCTCGTCTTCTGGAGTAACCATCTCAGGCAAGTGCACTCCAAATACATCCTCATCTTCTCCCCGTGAGCTCTTAAAAGGAAAATTGTCTTCTCTGAACAACACATCTCTACTCACTAAGCAAGTACCTGATTCTAAATCAAATAACTTGTAACCTTTTTGTGTTTCTGAATAACCAATCAGAACAGTTCTTCTAGCTCTGGGACTTCCTGATCTGTTGATCCTGCTAAACAAGCTGCTATTGGTTCATCCTTCAAAAAATAGAGTCCGTTATCCTCTTTACCAATCCCTAAGACCCTGTCAGTGTAAAGATCCTGGAAAATACAAAATTCTGGATAAAAGGAAGCTGAACAACCAAGATCTCTAGTCAATTTCGAAACTGATAAGAGATTAAACTTGAAATCTGGTACAAAAAGTACATTCTTCAATTTATGACTTCTCAATATTTTAGTACTTCCAGTGTGTGTCACTTCACATCTTCCACCATTAGGGACTTGAACACCACCATTTTCTCCTGAACTAGTTGTTTTAAACACTTCATCTAGACATTCTCTATCGAATGTAATGTGATGTGATGCCCCTGAATCAATTATCCATGTATGTGAAAAAGCATTGGACAATAGTGCAAAAATACCTGCCATATGAGCCTGAAAGTCACCTGAAGTACTGGCTTTGTTTCCTCTTCCAATGAGCTCCTGATAATGATCCTCAGAGATGTATCTCCCTTGTCCCTTCATATCATTTCTCCCTTGTCCCTTCACATCATTTGTCCCTTCTACCTCAGCTACATTATTACTCGCATAAGGTTTAGTAGGCACACCTGCAGATCCCAAATTTTTCTTGCTTTGGAAGTCAGGTGGATACCCAACTAATCTGTAACAGTTTGTCTTTAGATGTCCTTTGTAACCATAATGATCACAAACATATCACGG